AGAGAGAGAGAGAGAGAGAGAGAGAGAGAGAGATGGGGAGAGGGAGAGGGAGAGAGAGAGAGACATTGGAGTCATTTGGAGGAGCAGAGAGAAGGGATTTTTACAAGCACACCGCACCGATCAGTGCCTGCCACACCACTGAAGGGGTTGAATAGTCCCGCTTGTGTCACAGACGAATTACTCAAATATGAAACTGCTGAAAGCACGGGTCAGTTTTTTCAAAGTTGTTAGCAAGCAAAGTCCTGAAGAAGAGAATGTGGGCAAAAGGAAATGATGACTCTATCTAACAAAGGGACTCTTTACAAATCGCCATGGAAATTTAACTTGGGAAGGATTACTTTGATACTTTGGATTACTTGATTATGAGACCATTTAAAATAAAAATCATGAGAATAAGTTTCAATCTTTGTGCCTAATGTTATTTCACTATTTTACTGCTGAAATATATATTTCTCCCCAACTCGCTAGTTCTCTCTTCAAGTTATCTTTAGAGGGTGAATTGTGAACTCTGACCTTGAAGGTCCTATATTCAAAGCCAAATAGCTGTGTTAAAGTGAGCCTGAAGAGAGCGGATCCCACATTAGGGAGGAAGGTGGAGCAGCTAGAGATGCTTCTGAAGCTCAGACAGCTGAAAGGGACTGTGAGTAATCTTGAGGCTTTCTTTGATAATTTACTAATAATCTTTTTTCCAAAAAATACATGAATTTATTGAATCATGAACTCTGGAAAATATGTATCATCTTATATTTGAAAGATTAAAACAAGAATGACCAGGAAGGAATGTAAATTTAAATTTTCTAAATTGTTATGGCCAAATTTTAATTTAATGTTCAAAATGGATATTGATATACTGTCGCCAAAGATCTTGTTTCATTTGCTCCAAATATCTTACCCAAATATCTTATCTAGACATGTTTATAGCACCTGCTGGGCTGCACAATAGGTCCAGGTGAGGTAATTTCAGTGACACACACACATACACCCACCCCCACACACACACTCATACACACACATACACAGAGACAGAGACACACACATACACACAGACACATAGAGAGAGAACCAGAGCTTATGGCTGGCAGCCTGGTTTCTATCTCTTGAGTCTCCCTCACCAATCTGATGACTGGAACAGAACAGACAGCCACCAAAGCTAGTCTGTAGCTCCTTACCTGATGTTCAGAAAACATCTGTTGAGTCGTTTAGATTCTCTCTCAAGAATGTAAACTAATAAGTGCACAGAGAAGGAATTCAAGAAGCATTATTAGGAGAAAAAGCCGAAGCATATATGCTGCAGGCAAACTGGATTTCCATTGAACTCTGCAAAAGCCAGAGAGAAGAAAACAGGAGTCAAGAGAGGAAATACGCACCCAGAGAAGGAGAAAAGAAGCGACAGTTCAGCCCCAGAGCCCCAGAGGAGAGCCGGGCAGCCTACCAAACAGTCTCAGTTCTTTCTTATAATCCAGGTAGAGACTTCAGCAGAAACCTCCCTTCCTAGAAGTGTCACTAATGAATTTCCCTGTCTCTTGTTATTTAAAACAACCTAACATCAATGTCTTGTTCAGAGTTCATGTAAAAGGGCTCAGGGCTGCCATCTTCCATTTGGCGATGAAACTTGATAATTTGATGTTCAGGATACTGACACTGATCCTTCCAATAATGAAATTTGAGAAAATTTGGCAAGGCATTTGCATGTTGGCCTGCTTTCCTGGAACAAATTTGTCTCTTTTCCTCCCCCATACTAATGTAAGCCAACCTAGTAGCTCAGTGACAGAGGACAAGATCCCCAAGAGAGGACTTCGGAGCTATCAAAAGCAGTGTGGGATGTGGGAGGGTGCTGATAGTCCTTGAAAAAGCAAAAGGTTGGGCCTATGATTTCTGGCCTCTATCAAGAGAGGAACAGCTGTCATATGTGATCTTGAAGAGAAGTGGACATTTCATCTGGCTTCAAGTAGAGCATAAAGCTCCTACTGGAGAGTCATCCACCACAGTTTATGATTCATCCTCATCGTATCTTGAGAATGGACATCATCAGCCCTGTGGTTTTTGCCTCTTTGGGGCAGGAAGGCACCTGAGTTAAGGCCCTCCTGCTAGAAACATATTGTGAGTGAAACTGTTGATCCTGATACATCTGACATCACTAATAGGTGTAGAGTAAAAATAGAAAAAATAACTGTCTTAGTTACTTTCCCATTGCTGTGATGATATACTCTGACCAAAGCAACTTAAATGAAACAGTTGATTTTTGCTAACGGTTCCAAAGGGACAAAGACAATCATGGTGAGGAAGACATGAGAGCAGGCAGCAAAGCATGGTATCAAGAGCTCTGTTGTCACCCTGTGTCTCAGGAAGCAGATGGGGGTGGGAAAGTGCATGCTGCTACTCACCTCTAGTCTTCATTTATGTATTTCAGGATCCCGGCCACAAAAAGGACCCAAAGTAAATGAGTCTTCTACACACACACACACACACACACACACACACACACACACACACACACACAAAATCCACACCCCACACCCTCCAGCCATACCCAGAGGTCCTAGCTCTAGGTGATTCTAGATTTGGCCAAGTTGACAACATTAACTAGCCCAGTAGTTAAAGGGTAACGTAGCATACTTTTAAAACGCATGGATCTGGAACCAAATACTGTGTCTCTAATTCTCACCTCTGCCACTTCCAAGCTCTCTAAGCCCCAGTTTCTTTACCTCTATCTTGAGGATGGTGATGAAGGTCTCTGCTTCACTCGGTTATTGTGAAAATTAGATATGGTGTCTGTGTGAAGTCTGTCAGTCATTCCTGGCACAGGATAGACACACTGTTATTGTTATGATCATCTGCCGCAGGTCAAGAAGACAGACGAACTTGCAGAAGATAGCCAGTCAGCCACAAGGCTGGAAGAAATTCAAGGTCTCTTTGATACTGGTTCTTGTTCTTCTTTTTGTTTTAATAGTTCACAGCACAGCTGAGCTTTGCCCTTCTCATGCTTCCGAAGGAGGTGTAAGGCCACTAGACTTCATCTTCCCTGACGGCTGCGGATCTAAAGAGTGAAAACCAAAGCGTTACTGCCAAGGTCATGTCCTTTGCTGACTTAGCTTTCCATGTCACTGCAAAGGCCCGGTTCTGTCATCATTCTCTTCTCAGGAGCATGCCTTTTCTCTCGGGTACATGCAAGAGAAGGACCATGTGTAGCATGAATCTTAGAGAGTCTTATTAATTAAAACAAACCCGGAGCCAAGTATTGAGGTGAACACTGGAAGGTCAGAGAGACAGAACAAGCCACAGCTAACCTCACCTGGCCAATTTCTCAGCTGATCTTGTTTCCTCAGACTGGAAGCCTCTGTGTCCTCATCCCAATGGCTCTCAGCTGAACTGCTACTCAAAACCTAAGAGCTTAACCAGCCAAATGCTTCTTGTTTCTGATCTTCATTCCTTATATATCTTTCCTTTCTACCATCACTCCCTGGGATTAAAGGCTCACTTCCTGGGATTAAAGGCGTGTGTCACCATGCCTGGCTATTCCCAGTCGTGGCCTTGAGCTCAGAGATCCAGAGGGATTTCTACCTCTGAAATGCTAGGATTAAAGGTGTGTGTGCCACCATTTTCTAGCCTCTGTATCTAGTGGCTGTTCTGTCTCTGATCCCAGATAAGTTTATTGGGGTGCACAATATTTTGGGGAACACAATACCACCACAACCATGTGCCTCCTCCCCAAGCAGTGTATGCCCTCTGTGCGCTCCAGAGCATTCTACAACACAACCCAAGGTCCAGGACGGAGATTGGCACATGCGCGCTGAGTCTCCTGCCTCACACACCTTTGGCCGGACTGCTTTCCCTCAGAGTCAAGTCATTCACACCTGCTTGCTCTTTGGTGGCTTGACCTACTACCACTCCTTCTGCTCAAGCCACATTCTTCTCACCACTTTTATCTCTCACCCAGCACTAACTAAAACTCTGTCCACACTTTTAACATCTGTTTTCACTCCCAAACTCTCCAACTTTCTCTCCGTTGGAATCAGTCAATTAGAAGATTTTTTTTTCCCTCAGTCAGTCAATTAGAAGATTTTTTTTTCCCCTCCCAGTCATATACAGACTTCTCTAAAGATTGCTCCCATCCAATCATGGTTGGACCTAATAACCTTGTCCCTCAACCCCAGATATTGTGACCAAAAATGGGCTCCTGGCTTAAGCTAAACTAAGCTAATCACAGCCTCTCCCCCTAGAATTTGGCATAGAGTTGAGAGAGACCATGCGTATTTTATTTATAATGGCATTTTATAAGGCCATTGTCTTAATTAGCGTTTCTATTGCTGTGATAACCACCATGACCAAAAGCAACTCAGACAGGAAAGGATTTATTTTAGCTTATAACTCTCAGGTCACATTCTATCCCTGAGGGAAGTCAGGTCAGGAACTCAAGGCAGGAAGCTGAAGGCAGGATTGAAGCAGAGGCCATGGAGGGATGTTGCTTCCTTGCTTGCTAAGCCTGCCTTCTTACAGCACTGAGGACCACTAGCCCATGGGTAGCACCGCCCACAGTAAGCTGGGCCCTCCCACATCAATCAATCAAGATGATGCTCTACAACATTATTTACAGGTCAAGCTGGTGGAGGAATTTTCTCAATTGAGGTTCCCTCTTCCCAAATGACTCTAGTTGCATTGAGTTGATATAACACTAGCGAGCACAGTCCTATAACCTCAGGATCAACATGGTAAAGCCGTCCTCCTCTGGGAGGCAGAGACTGTGCAACCTTGGTTTCTGGTCCTGTCCCTGAGGAAGCCCAACTGGACTTCTTGCCCTTGTTTTTCCTGAACTACAAACAAACACTTGTTTCAGTTTATCAACTTTATTTAAGGCTAGCAATGTGAATTTCAGACATTTGTGATGAAAAACCTGTAAATAAGAAAATAGTAAGTAGGAAGATAGGATAGCTTATCTTAATCCATCTAGATTAACACAAGAGGCTACAGGTCATACCAAAAGTTAGCATATAAATATACATTCCTGAGGCTGAGTGTAATCAGCAGTAGATCACCTTCCTAGAATGTGGGAGGCCCTGGGATCAATCCTCGGCACCAGAAAAAAAATTCTATGGACATATAACAAATAAATAATAATCCACAAATTATGCTGAGCTCATCTGGGCATCTCATACATGTAGAGTCCTATCAGAGTCACAGAAGGACCCACTCACATGGTGAGCGGTTGGGACTGGCTGGTTGGGGCTCTCAATTCTTTCCTTTACAGAGCCAGCCCAAACTTCTTCACACCATCATGGAAACACTCCAAGTAGATAGGTCCCAGCACACAGGTACCCAAAAGCAGATACCGGTTGATGTGGCCATGGAACACTGTCCTATAACTAAGGAACTGCATTTTTAATTTCATTTACATCGAATTCATTTTTATTTAAATAAAAAGGAACAGAGGCTACATATTATTGAGACTATTTAAACAGTCCTATTAAAAAGCAGTGACTGACAGAATGGTATAGCAGCAAGACAATACTACATACTGTGTATAATTGACATACTCTTGCCCCAAAGCTTGTTCAAAGTAAGTAGATGGAGAGAGATAAGCCACATAAATAAATAGTAGGCTTAGAAGGCTGGGTAAATATTTAAATATCACATAAAAAAAGACTGCAAAAATAAGTTCAGTATCCTTGATGACAGATTAAAAAGTGAGAATTTCTAATAACAAAAAAAGGATAACTCATCAGGAAGACAGAGCAGTTAAAATGTATGTACTTAATAATAGAACCTATGAAGAAACTTGTCAAAACTGAAAAGGAAACAGCCAATTTGTAGCTAGAGTACACTCTCAGCAACTGAGAATAACTAGACAAAAATTAACTTTAAAAAATCCAGCACTGTCAAAATCAATTGACATGTATGGAACCCTACACAAACGATTTCAGAATTCAATAGTTAACATTCTTTCCCAGTGCACGTGATACAGAACAGCTCATGCAGCTTCATATAACAAGTGTCTATACACAAACAAAGGGCCTAAATAATATAAATTCATTTTCTCAAATTGCAAGTCAAGATATCCTTAGTATGATATGGAGGAGCACATTAGAAAATATTTTAAATAAAACAAAAATAAAATAGGTCGGAATTTAGTGGCCCAGATAAAGCTGGGACAGGAGCGAGGCGAGGGAACCACTTTCAATATTTGACTTAGAAAAGTCAATATCCTGCATTTTCTTCTGCCACCGGACCGGAAGAGCGAACGAAACACAAAGGAGACGCACAGAAACCATGTGGGGTCTGGGGAGATGTCTCAGTGGGTAAAGGGCTTGCTACACAAGTGTGAGGATCTGAGTTTGGATCCCCAAGACCTGTGTGAAGAACCAGGCGTGGTTGCAGTGTCCAGACCCAGAGCGCTGGGAGCAGGGGTGGAGACATGGATCTTTCCTTCTTCTTTCTTTTTTGTCTTCTGAGTTGCTTTGGGTCTGGTTGTTTTGTTTCGTTTTTGACTCTATGTACTGTTGCTTGTTTCTTCTCCATCCATGAGATTTCCTCATTGCTATCCCGGCCTCACTAACACCTTATTTGGCCTTTGCCTACTACTCAGTCCCAATGTCAAGGCTGCAAGTTTTAGATGTTATTCTGGCAGCATCCTACCTCTGGGTACCAATATTCCACCTCTGTGGCTCCCAACCCTGACCTTGAATTTTGTGTCTCAGCCTTTTGGAAAACTGCCATCTTATGAATAAACCTGGCTGTCCCCTAGATGTTGAAATATCATGTAGACAGAGAGACTACGCTGGGAGACAGCAGAGAGCCCAGGTATGGAAGCCTTCCAGCCAAGGCCCTGGAAATATGAGTGACAGAAAACGGGACCATCCTGCTCTCAGCTGACCAGCACCCAACTGCAAATGTGTGAGCTGGCTAAAAGGTTGGGGGCAGAAGGAGTACCCACCTGAGTGTAGTCCACATCCCCCACCCTGCAGATATATGCTTAGGTGGGCTTTGTTTTAAGCCACTACATTTTGGAATCTTAAATTCTATGATGATAGATACTTGATATAAATATTATCCTCAAAAGTTGTTTAGTTAAAATCTCCAATTATAAAATAAAAATTTGCTCAAGTCATTTCAACTTGACATCCATATGATTTTATTGTAAAGAGATTATTCTAAGAAATTTCTCTATTGAATACGATATATGTAGAAGTGATCATATGGCAAGTCCGTGATACGTGCAGAAAAAGAGTATACAATTTTAACTGCCTAGGTGAGGAAAAAGGGTAAGTGATGATATTTTACAGTTTTTTTAATTTTGAATTATGAGCATATGTTTATGTTTGGTGGTATGTGCACATGTGAATGCAGAGGGTGTTGGAACCCCTGGAGCTGGAATTACAGGTAGATATGAGCTGCTGGATGTGGATTCTGAAAACTGAAACCCTCTGAAAGAACAGGAAGCACTCTTAACCTCTGAACCATCTCTCCAGCTCTGGCAAGTGCTATTTCTAAAGGAACATTTCTGTTTGGTTTGGTATTGTTTGGGATTTTTTTTCTGGTTTAAACATCTGTTGGTCTGGATGCAGCTAACAAGACGTTGAGCATCTGCTCAGATGTTCCTTGCTTCGTAGAAATTTGTTTTGCTTTGTTTGTTTTTTCTCATAGTAAGTGTCTCTTAGTTCTGGAGCTCAGTCTGTTCTGTCTTGGCTGCTGTATATTTGGGGCTTCCTTTTGGTTAACAGCAGATCTTCCTGGTATATTGACCATAGCCAATCATAAGCCAATGACTATTCATAACAAGAGGGGAAAGGCCCCCTTCTCAAATAACTGACCAGTGAGCAAGCAAAGAGAAAGGTTAATAGGAACAAAACTGGCAAAGCAGGTGAATATCTTGTGACTTCACAATTAGATTTTGTGGTGTTCAAGTGTTTAATTCTCCCATGGTGGCCATTACACAAGCACCTTAACTTAAGCACTTTCAAGAGGAATGTGAAATGTCATCTCATCTTATAACTTACCTTCGGGGAGCAGTTATCACTTCCACTTGTTATCTGGTGCTCATTCCTACTTTATTGTTGACCATGGGGGTTAGTTCCATCTGTGCTGAGCTGTGTCAATGTGCCCTTGGACTGTTTCTTTGAGTGGGCATGTGGCGAAGGAGACGAGGTCATGCAGACGTCTGTGTTGATTTTGCAGCTGCACACACCCAATCCCTTCACATGTGCAGTCATAACAGCTGGACTTAAAAGATTATGGAAAGGTTAAGATAAAATGAATATGGCCAGCATGACTTAAGGTCAAGTGATACTCAAGGACTCTGAACTCTAACCTCAAAATTTAGCCCTGGTTTCCTCACAGAAGTAGAGCACACAGTGCCTCCTCCTTGTAATCATACTGTTGGAGAGCACTTCACAGTTTTGAAAGCGTTCTCATCTGGGCTCGTTTTCTTATTTGATTCTGAAATTGGAGTTGCCACAACTGGGACATTTGACATTTCACAGGAAAGCCACAGATCTGGTGGGTTCTGCCAACCGTAGTAAACTAAATTATATCCCAAATGCAAATCACCTCCAACACGTGAGCCTTGGGGCTCCTACAGAACACTGTCTTACTGGTCACTGTGCCTCCAACATAATAGACAATATTGGTCAGGTTTGCTCTTCCAGGACCGAGTGTAGCAAGTGCATGAAGCTCTCAGCACACACTGGCATGTTTTATAAGCATTCCCACATATTTTTCCTACAATGTTACCCTTATAGTTTTATCCAATGACATGGTTCAGTTACAGTGCATTAACCCATTTGATTTTTTCAAAACCTTGTAAGATAAATATGTAGAGACTGAATAGTCTCACTTCACAGATGGGACACCTGAGTGAGGCATAAGAAGATTGTTATAGAATTGAGGTCTCTGAATCCTCAGTCAATCCTTTCTCTATCTGACTTTTCATGCCTCAGTTTACCTCTTCCCTTGCATTCCTCTCCCAGCAGTGCATGGGGGTAGGGGATCCTCTTTCAATGCCACCTCATTGTTATAAGTTTGTTTTCTTATTTTGGTAATTCTAGCTTTGGGCTAAAAAATGTAAAAATGAATTCCTTTAAAGGTCATTTATTAGCTAGCTTTGAAAATGCATATCTTGAGTCCAACAAAGCATTCTGTGATCTCTCATGACATCTGAGTAGGCAAACTTGTTCAAGGACTTTTTATTATTTCAACAACTGTACCAAACTCTAGTGGTTTCCATTATAAAAAAAAAAAAAAGGGTCAGATTTTCACATCAATGCCGCACAGGCTCTGCCTCCTTACCTGCTTCTCCCCCTTCACCCTAAACCCCTTCTGCACACACTCTACACTATAACCCCGGGGTTCTTTCTGCTTTTAATATGTGCCACACTCATTCCTAGCCAGGGCCATTTACATGTGCGGGGTTTGCTTCATGAAACACCACCAGCCCCTTGGACCTTGCAGGGGTGGCTACTTGGCATCATTTATCTGCTCGAAGTCCTCCTTGAAGAATTTCCCTGGTCATCTTGCTATGTGAGAAATACTAGGTACACAATAATGCATATAGTATACTACCATTCTGTATATTTTCTTAAGTATTATTTACATAAAAACATACATAGACTATTGCAAGAAAAATATGTAAGAAATTAATCATGATAGTGGCCACTAGGGAAAACTGTAGGATATAATTGAGACTAGAGGGCTAGAGAGATGGCTCAGTGGTTAAGGGCACCAACTGCTTTTCCAGAGGACCTGGGTTCAATTCCCAGCACCCATATGGCAGCTCACAACTATCTGTAACTCCAATTCCTAGGGACCCAACACCCATGGCAGAACACCAATGCACATAAAATATATTGTAAAAGAGAGAGAGAGAGATTAGATATTTTCTCTCTGTTATAATATTTGAGTTGTTTATTTTCACTACTACTTATTGAAAGATTTAACATCTTTTTCAAAGAATTACACAAAAGGATTCATCAGATTGTCTGAAACAAATAAATTGGAAGTAGAAAGGGAATACATAGTTGATATTTCACTTAAAGTCAAGAATTCCATTGCATAGAACCTAGTGAGGCAGATCCTGACTAAAAGCAATGTATCTAATATTTTCTTGACTACAAGTGCAGTATAACCAAGCCACTTGACAGAGTTCAATGCATCTGTCCAACAGCAGAATACATGTTCTCCTCAAGCACACATTCTCCATGACAGATCAAGTAAGGTCACAAAGCACGCTCTAGCAAACTTAAGGAGATTGACATTATACCAGTTATAGATCTCGGCTACAACAGGATGAAGGTAGAAATTAATCTAAAAAGGGAAATTTAAAAATTCACAAATATATAGAAATCAAACAGCGTACTCTTGAACAATCAATGGGACAAGAAAAAAAACAAAAGGAAAACCAGAAAAATACTGTGAAATAAGTAAAAAGGGAAATATAATATTCAAAATTCATTGGATACAGCAGTAGAAATGGGATGAATGAATGTAGTCATGGGTGCCTACTTTAAAAAAAAGGAGCTCCTCAGGGCTGCAGAGATGGCTCAGTGGTTAAAAGCACTTGCTGTTCTTCCAGAGGGCCCAAGTTCAGGTCCCTGCACCTACCACCACTTGCAACTGTAATCCTAAGGGATCAGATACCTCCTCAGAAGCCCCCTTCTGTCCTCCACAGGCACCCCCCCAATGGCATGCACCCACATACACGCAAACATGTACATAAAAATAAAAGAAAAGAGGCATTTCAAGTTAGCAATCTGACTGTATGTTTCATAGAAATAGAAGAGGAAGAAAGATGAACCCCATGATTAGCAGGAGGAATGAAGTGATAACATCAGAGAACCACATAGGAAAAAAAAAATAGAAACAAACAAACCAAAGAAATAAACTAAGCATTAGTGGTTTTGAAAAAAAAAATCATGAAATTGATAAACTGTTATTTAGAGTAATTGAGACAAAAATACTCAAATAAATAAAATCAGAAATTGAAAGAGATATTGTAACAGATGTTACATATACATATACATAGAGGTATAAAGAATTATGAGACTATGAAGAATTATACATCAAAAATTAGAATGTGTAGAAAAGTGCAGCCGAGGTCCTACAAACATGATCTAGAGCAGTCCTTCTCAACCCATGGCATGCTACCGCTTTTGGAATCAAATGACCCTTTCACAAGAGTCGCATATCAGATGTCCTGCATATCAGATATTTACATTATGATGATTCATAACCGTAGCAAAATTACAGTTATAAAGTAGCAACGAAAATAATTTTATGGTTGGGGGTCAGCACAGCATGAGGAGCTGTATTAAAGGGTCACAGCATTAGGAAGGTTGAGAATCACTGCCCTTGAGAATGAGTCACTATGACACAGGGGGTCTAAATAGATTGAAAAGGACTAAGGAGATTGAATGAACAGTCAAAAATTTCCTAACACAGAATAGAAGGTTTCACCAGTGAATTGTATCAAATAATTAGAGAGTAGATGTCAATTCTTCTTAAATTACTTCCAAAAAATTAAAGAGGAAAGAACACTTGCAAATTTATTTTCTGAGACAAGTATTCTTATGCCAAATCTAGAAAAGTGCCACAAGCTACAAGAACTACAGATCTTATCATTGTCCCATCACACAGTCTCTCCCTGTTGCAGATCCTATTACTGTCATGGCATCTACCAAGAGTTCCTCAACAAAGCCAGGTAGAACCTGGTGCCTCTTGAGCCCCCGAAAGTTATGAGAAAACATACACACATCCTTTGTTTTTACAAATTACCCAGCCTTAAATATTTTGTTACAGCAACTGGAAACTGAAAAAAATATATAATGCCTATGTACTCAGTTAATCTTACAAGTGTATCAAGACTGTACAATAAGAAAAAGTCTCGTCAACAATGGAATAGGACAAGGAAAAATTGGAAATACAAATGAAAGAAATTGGACCCTACCAATTTACAATGGAATATACTTCAGAGTACAACAAAATAGTAGCAAGCTGAATTTAACAGCCCATTAACAGGATCATCCATCATGACCAAGTGGATTCATTCATAAGATGCATGGATAGTTCAATGTCTGAAATGTAGTATACAACAGAACACTGTATAAAAACCACACGGTCAACATAACCTGAAAGTGAGAGCCCCTCTTCTAAGATGGGAGAAAAGCATGAGTGTCTACACTTGCCTCTTTCATTCAGCACAGAACTGGAAATCTTGAGAACAATTAGGCAAGAAAGACAAATAAAAGGTATTAAAATTAGAAAGAAGGGTAGTAAAATTATCTGTGTTCTACAGCAAATCTTGAAGACTCCACAAAAAAAATCAGCTAATAAATGAATCCAATAAAGTTGCAGAATGCACATCTCCCTAGCATCCCTAAGAATAGGCAATGAAGGCCAGGTGTGCGCCTTTAATCCCAGCACTTGAGAGGTAGAAGCTGGAGGATCTCTGTGAGTCTGAGGCCAGTCTAGTCTATAGAGTTCCAGGACAGCTAGGGATACACAAAGAAACCCTGTCTCAAAAACTACACCCCCCCCCAAAAAAAAATCCATGTAAAAAGGATTTTTTAAAATCACATTGTGTGTGTGTGTGTGTGTGTGTGTGTGTGTGTGTGTAGATTTGGGAATCAGTTCTTTCCTTCCACCACGTGGCTCTTGCATTTTGAATACAAGTCACTATAGTTGTTTTGTTTGTTTGTTTGTTTGTTTTATTCTTTTGGCTCTTTGGGGGCCCACCACCTAGCTCCCAAATAAATATACTGAGACTTATTCTTTCTTATAAATGTCCAACCTTAGCTTGGCTTGTTTCTAGCCAGATTTTCTTAAATTATCCCTTATACCTTTTGCCTCTGGGCTTTTATCTTTCTCTATTCTGTATTCCTTTCTTTCTTTCTTCCTCTGTAGCTAGTTGTGTAGCTGGCCCCTGGAGTCCTCCTCTCCGTCTCCTTTTCCTTGCCCTTCTTTCATCTCTTTTTCTCCATTTATTCTCTCTGCCTGCCAGCCCCGCCTATTCTTTCTCCTGCCTTGCTATTGGCCATTCAGCTCTTTATTAGACCATCAGGTGTTTTATTTAGACAGGCAAAGTAACACAGCTTCACAGAATTAAACAAATGCAGCATAAGAGAACATGACACATCTTTGCATCATTAAACAAATATTCCATAGCATAAACAAATGTAATACATCTTAAACAAATATTCCACAACAGGTAACAGTGGCAAGTTCCAGAAGATCCAAGTTCAGGTCCCAGCACCCATTTTCTGGTACCCTGATGATCCC